AGAAACCGTATATTGATAAATATATTTACATCAAAAGACACTGTAGATTGCATGCATGATAAAGTAATTTGCACCAAAGAAACATAATATGATACATTCATTTGCGCCAAACGGAACTGTACAAATGAAACAGCCATTGCACAAAAGAAACTGGACATATGGTGAATTTAATTGCACTAAATGGCACCGTATACATGATCATGATAAAATCGTTTGTATCGTTTTTGGTGTCGTATATTCAAATATGACATGGCACCAAAAGTAAACTTTTGAAACCATGTGTACATTTTCATTTACATGTGCAAGTTTAAACCATACTTAATCTATGATGTAAATTCAAACTAACAATAAACATAGTCATGTGTCTGTACAATGTAAACACATTAGTGTTGCCGCAGTATACATCTAAATGTAATAAGGTATATGAGTGAGTGAGTTTAGTTTTACGCCGCACTCAGCGATGTTCCAGCTATATGGCGGCGGTCTGTACATAATCGAGTCTGGACCAGACAATCCAGTGATCAACACGCATGAGCATCGATCTGCGCAATTGGGAACCGATGACATGTGTCAACCAAGTCAGCGAGCCTGACCACCCGATCCCGTTAGTCGCCCCTCACGACAAGCAGAGTCGCCTTTTGTGGCAAGCATGGGTTGCTGAAGACCTGTTCTACCCCGGATCTTCACGGGTCCAATAAGGTATATAATAACCACTGTTGCGAATGCACTTCTTCTGTGTTGGCTGAAACTTGTTTTAAACGATCTTGAAACACACCCAGCTAATCATTGCTGTGTCAGTTCGTGGTGTGTACACATCTGATCACAGAAACAGATAACTCTCAATGCATTACTCTAGCTAATCCAAAGATAAGCCCGTGCACTACAGAGATCAAATCAAACACTATCAAGTGAAAGCATTTCCCCTTCCCTCTAAATCCTTCTTCACAATTTATGGCAGTGTGGCGGAGCTTAAACAACAAAAGGTTGTAAATTTCAGCGCGTTTCAATATCACCCAGAGCCTGCTGTCAATATCACTTTATATCATCGATTTCAGGTCTAAGCCCCATTATGTACAGGCTCTAGCTGCGCAAAGTCCCTGCCTAGATACCGAGATGATGGGAAACAAATGCAGCTGGAATGCATGATCACGCATTTCTACAACATGATCGAAATTGTAAAGAAAGCAGCGTCACAAATGCAATTTGACCGATACGTGTCACGATCATTGAGATGCATATCAAGGTTTCGCGTGTCATTGTATATCTCAATAGGAAGCGTAAGACATGTGAGACCAGGAGTATGTTTGCATGGATTCCTTCCACTGCTCTGAAGCCATATTTGGTCAAACCGAGTGTATATAGCATCACATCGCTCCAATCATTGAATGACATTTAAAGGACTGGTCATAACACAGAAATTTGATGTGGATCCAGGTATAATGTCTTTGCTTCTGATAAAAATAACGTTATTGTTATGGGATATGTTTCTGTTTCGGATTAAGCTCGACTTTACACTTTAACAATAGGTGGTTAAAATGGTCGTATAGTTGATGGAGATGTATGTGAGTGTGTTGGCGGATACATGTATGGATAATATGAGATTGAACAGCACGACAGTAACATGGAAACAATGTAACAATGTATGGTTTAACAGAGGTCACATGCTTGCTCGGCGTGTGTTTGTGTGAGTGTTCTGACTTGATAGCCAAACGTTTATCTGACAACTGAGTATTGATTTATACTAGAGCATCACTTTGTGCATCAGCAACAAGTTCATAATCATGTAGAATCCCTTTGAAAGGGAATATCCCATTAAGGTATCTAAACATTTGGCGAATGGAAACATATGACTGTACATATATTAATGATCTTAGCCTTTCATTATACAAATGTTATTTACTAATCATCATGGTGATATATTCATAATGAAAATGTTATATGTTTTAGTTAATAGGTATTGTGTGTATGAAATAAGACATGACTTTTGAGAAGCAGAGGGCATTAATATATGCAAGCAGTCACAATACTTCAAAGTACCTTCAAAGTACCTTTGTGCAGCAATTAATGACAAAGAATCAATGTACAGGTGAGATAAAGGTTGTACAGTGTATAAACTCGTCGACGATAGATGGGTTTTAAAACAAACTGTTTTACACATTTCGAGGGAGCTATGATATTTAGTTCTAGAAAACAGCGGGCGGTTGGGTTTCAGAGTGGTTAAGCGTTCGCTCGTCACGCCGAGGGTCCAAGTTCGATTCTCAACCTGGGTACAATGTGTGAAGCCCATTTCTGGTGTCCCCAGCCGTCATATTGCGGGAATATTGCTGAAGGCGGCGTAAAACTCACTCACTCAAGAAACAGCAACATTTGAGGAAAAACAATTTGCGTCAAGTGTTTTGTCCAGCGTTCTGGACGTCATGGGATTCATTGAATCAACAGTGGTGTAGTGGTTAGCTTGCTGGCCTCTCACGCCGCCAAAGGCCCGGGTTCGAATCCCGGTGGAGGCACCAAAATTTGTGACATGGGTCTCATGCTGTGTTGAGTCCCTGGACAAGGCACTTCGTCCACATTGCACTCAGTCCACCCAGCTGTTCAAAATGGATACCTGAGAAGCGGATGTACGGACCTATACGGTCGCGCTTAGCGCTTAGTAGCAGCTTTGAAAGTACAATTCCGCCAGGGTAATAATGTAACGCCAGCAAGCAGCATCGTGTTGGATTCTAGGCGCAAAAATTAGCATTAATTAGCATTATCCAGATTGTTAAAGATACTTGTATGATAATGGGTACATATGGCACTTTGAGCAAGATATTCATCCAGGAATGGCGGTGTATAAGTGGACTATTATCATATGGCACCATGCCGGTCAGTAATGATTTTTATGACAATGCGGATGATTGTATTTAAGGATAGTACTTGGGTTGAAAATTAATGAGTGACTTTCAATTTGTGTGGCAGTTTATATAACGGAATAGAGAGATGTGTTGTGAAGAAACGCCGATATGCGTTACATTATGGGAAAATACATACATTATTCACAGACAGAGACACTGATAACGTTTCAATACATTTTTAGCATTGTATGCATTTTCTATTTTGTCCTTTGGGAGGGACTGCTTGTGTTTCTTTATAATAACATCATATTTTATCAATGAAGGCAATGCAGTAACAGATCAATTTGCAGTAGTGGCGTTGGGGTATTCATTCTTTACCACCGAACAACCAGAAAGATGTCACATGGAATATAAGGTTACATAAAGGATGATCAATGGAAAATAATTAAATTTGCATGTGTCTTGGTATCATTAATAGTTATATGATAATCATACATGCAGACATAAAAAACATCTTGCTGATGATCAGATTGGATTATTATTTGCGATAAGTTTAGATTAGTCGCAGGAAGTTTGAAAGTCTTAATGTTGAGTATTGCATATACAGAGGTTTGCTGTGAATTATTGTCTCATAGAGGTCGATTAAGTATTAATAATTTATCTTTACGACTGTCACACAGCCTTTTATAGAAAGGTGTAGAAACATGAAGTTATCTCACAGTAACAATAACACCATTCCCCTCGGTGCAATAAAGCTGGGTAATTGGATACGTATGCTCAATGTGATCACATCTCATAACACAAGGGGCGTATGGTTCTCCTGATGTTAGAAATCAATTCCAATATATTTCCACAACATGGAATCGCCTTTGATATATGTTTTAAACTGCTCTGTTGAACACGTGATTATCACCAGAACGCTCTTGTTCCTGCGATTAACAGTATTTCTAAAGCGAACATGTTTTTGTGTTTTCAACTGGAAACACGTTTTACAATGATACTGTCAGTGTATTCGGATGCAACTGCAAGAAAAGGTGCTTAAGATTCCCCGTGGAATATTGATCTTTCTCTCACGGTTATATGGTAAATATAATCGTTGAATTGTAAATGAGTTATCTTAAAAGAAGCCTAACCGAGAACATAGATCATATCTGGTGTTGAAATTAAATATTTGATGTGCGTCAGCCACGTTCATGTCCAAACATGTGATCTTGGATGCGTGTATCAATGATGAAATTAAAACATTATGGAATAAAATCTGATGGCACGGAATGAATTACTATTCATTCACCTGATGAAGGAGTAAGGATATACTCCGAAACGTTGTGTTCCTCATAACAAAGAAGTTGACATCCATAAAAACTCCTTAACATATGGGGTAGTAAACTTATAAACGGATTCTCATATAACATGTGATGGCAAATAAGATCTTACGTTTACGTTAGTCGGTCTACGTCATAAGACACACAAGGTCTTGACCTTGTACTGGTGCCATCACCTTAACATCCTTAGAGTGTTGGTAGTCATGACGCGCCGACTATTTTTATCGACCAATGTTCTGTCTAAATTGTCGTTCTTCTATTTCGGAACCAATTTTGAATGTCTCATGCGTGAAAATGACTCACTTTTCGGACTTTAATCTGCCTAAAGTCGTATTCAGAATGCTCTCCAGGGAACGTATTCCCACCGCCGATGACGTTAAAATGAACCTTGTCTTCTGAATTTCACAATATGGAACTGCCGGTGACAGACCAATTTTGACACGAACCATCTTGAGGTGTCTGTTTTCAGTTAACTGAAGGGTCCTCTGAGTATTTGGTTGAAGTAATTACTTTATGGTGACTGGTGGTCAGTGACGGACTCTCCATTTAGGTCAATTGTCCACCTAGATTATGCTGCTAATGTCATCTGGGGTTATATGCAGCAATACATCTAATGCCTCCTGCAACTAGTGGCATAGACTCTACATAGTATTATCAATGCAAGCGGAGACATAGTGGAATATCACAGCAACTGATTTGTATAATTGAGCTTCCTAGCAAGGCTATTGACGATTTGTGCACGATCCATACATCGGTTGACAGCAGAAACGTCGGCTGCAGCATCTACGTAGACGACAGGTGATACGGTTTTACTTCTCGGAATGTTCTATGAGGACTAGTCGGTTCATCATTCGATAAATTCTTCCCCGCCGGTTCCTGGGCAAACACATGGCTGTATTTATGGGAAAGGATTATGACTTTCGCTCAAGAGATGATGGCAAAGCTCGGATATGAGATTTCACTGCAAAACCCTGACACTCATTATTTGAATGCGCTTAAGCATTAGTGTTGCAATGGAGATTTAAACACAAGGGATTTCTTTTGATCCACTCGTGTTGGAGGATGCTGGATTGTAAGAGCACTAAACAACCTTACAAGGATATTTATCGCTCATGATAGCTTCGGGAGACCATTAGAAACACCGAGTCAGATTCAACAGTCGTTTTGAGCCGATGATTACTCAAATACACGTTTTGGAGCATGCCTTCCTCGTATGCATGTGTGTGCTTTGAAAAAAATCAATATCCGTTTTAGAGTTATAATGTGTTCTGTTTAACTGAAAGGTTATCTATCAATCGTTTTTTAGATTAATGCACCATTATCCAGTTTCTTGTCACTCTAGAGGTGTGTAATATGTTGTCCATAATGAAAGTTCTCAAATGTTGCAGATCACGCCGATCCGATAGTGGTTGGATCCATAGCTGGGTGTGGAACCCTCATCGCGGCTCTTGTCCTCGCGGCTGCGTGGTTTATTTGTAAGAAGAAGCGGCCCCCTTTGTTCCTAGATCCCGACCAGATGCAGTTCACCCATGACTACCTCTCTGACAGGAACATCCACATCAGCCAGAGCACCCCTGACCTCATTGAGGTCAACCAAACCCCACCAGAAACTGCCAGTGACAAGTCTCCATCAAAAAGAGGTATATTTCAGATCAGTTCTCGACAATGGACACTGCCAACAGTTCCACAACGTCATCAAACATTCCAGCGAATGCTTTCACATCGCCTTGACTTATCCAACATAGAGTTCTCTGTCCAGAGCATCAAACACAAAGAGCAACCGGAGCTTGGTGCCATTAAACCAGAACTTTACAAGCAGGCATCTGTTGATTCGCTGAGGTCGGAGCACACTCCTTGTGGAAAATTATTCTTTAGCCTGAAATACGTTCAAGAGCAGGGTAGTCTTTTCGTGAGCATTAATCGTGCGGAGAATCTTCCTGCTAAAGACTTTTCAGGAACCTCTGACCCTTACGTGAAGGTGTACCTGTTGCCTGATAGGAAGACGAAGCATCAAACTAAAGTTCATAGGAAGACATTAACTCCGGAGTTTAATGAAACGTTTGTCTTTAGCGTGAACTATGAAAACATCCCCTCACGGACATTGTATTTCAACTTGTATGACTTTGATCGGTTTTCACGCCACGACCTCATTGGAGCGGTTGTAGTCAAAGATATTTTCAGCGAGGGGAGTTTAGTCAAAGAAACCTTCTTTGTCAGGGATATTTACGTCACACAGCAGGTAAGCTAATACGGCATTTTCTTATCTCCTCACAACAAACATACGTTATTTAATATTTCTATGTTTGTGTCACCCATTCTAGTACCGTGACCCTAAATCAGTGAGAACCATTACAGTGTTGTAAAGTTTTTGAAAGGCATTTAGAAGTTGGATGAACATGAATACATGACACGTTTTATGGATAAAAACTTCTCTTTTATTCTTTACACGACGTTTCAGAGTTAATTCTTGCTCCTTCATCAGGTGAATGAGCAAGAATTAGCTCTGAAACGTGTCATGTATACAGTGTTCTCTAATGAACAAATTGTACCTTTTGTTCTTTTGATGCTTGTATTACAGAGTCGTTGTTGCAGGACTAAAGTCATTCTTTCACTCACAATACTAAGCACCCGTGTAGATCCGGGTTAGAATTGATCTTCAGCAACCCATGCTTGTCGTAAAAGGCGACTAACGGGATCGGGGCTGTCAGGCTCGCTGACTTGGTTGACACATGTCATCGTATCCCATTTGCACAGATCTATGCTCATGGTGTTGATCACTGGATTGTCTGGTCCAGACTCGATTATTTACAGACCATATAGCTGGAATATTGCTGAGTGCGGCGTTAAACAACAAACAAACAAGCACAACACAGCACTATGCAGTCACCAATAAAGCGAAAAGTTTATATTTCTTGCTTTAGTGCCTTTCCCCATTTCAACAATATATCAAAACAAGTAGCGATAAGTTAACCTACGATTGTGTTCCTTTATTATATATACACAACGTTTTCAATTCAGGTCTATATATCTGAATCGTTCACACTGTGAAATGTGTTTCGCCACTGATACTGTGTACTCACAGTTAACCTATTTTGAATGCAATATTGTTCTGTGGGGCTGACATGTATATATTCCATGTAATCATGTTTTTTACCAGTAATAGGTTCACATTCATATTACTGGCAACCCCACACAAAGGAAAGGGCACTGTGAGACAGTAGGTAGAGTTCGGATATGGCATTTCCCATCCATTTATGAACCTACTGCCGAATTGCTTTCATCTGAAGACTTATAATCAGCTAAACCTGTCTTTGGCACACGTTAAGGAAAATTGCTTTCAGCGATGCAAATGGCCCTTTGAAAAGTAGTCCTACGAGGAGCACCTGGGGTCGTCTTCTTACAGAACCTTTGTGCTTCAAGGACCACACGATCCAACTCTGTGCTGGTAATCACAACCCGCTGGTTCCATGTCAAACACACGCTTCCTTCAGGATGTTGAGTTGAGATACATTAAGCAGCTGTTTCAGCATAGTCCTCACTAAACATCCCTTACAAACACACTCACAGAGACACCCATTCCTACACCAAGCAAAAAATGCATCTGGTTCTACGATATCGCACCAGTGTCTGTCGGCGTGCGTTCAAGCGAAATTGGGACGGGGTCATTTGGGGGAAAATTGATTGAGGAATCAACAAACTGTACTGTTTCCATACCTGCTTACATATTCGGAAGCAGTGACAATGGGAATGGTTTCTCCTGTGTATGGTACAGAGGGAACAACGATTGAGTATCTTTGTGTCGAACTTGATATGTCGTATTTGCAATTGTCTCGCAACGCATTCCTTGTTCAAATCCTCGTTCCTGATTTTGTACATGTCTCAAATGATCATTTAGAAGGAAAGTCTACAAATTTGGTATAAATATATGAAATACTAAAGAAACCAAATCTATTCCAGCTAATTCCAGAAATTAGCTATACATTTCCTTAGATATGTATCCTTTGTTTGTTGTTTTGCGTCAGAAGTATTAATCAATATTACGACGGTGTGGGCTCAAGTCGGGGTCATACAAACCTGAGCTACGATGACCCTCATGGTCACCAAATCTAATTGGGTCACCTCTTGCAGCTGCATCCGGGTCCCCACGGGGTTGTAATTTAAAATACAATCCATACAAATAGGATTTTGTATTGAATTTAGCTCACCATTGTCAGCCATAGAGGCTTCAGAAGAAGGCAGACTCCGGCTCAATGAAACGATGTTAGGGCTAAGATTATCGTATGTGTATGATAGAGCATGACGTAGCAAAGGTGGAAGACTGCTTTGAGGAGCATTGCATTGCTGTGAATATGCCTTGTTGTCCTGTGATCTCAGATCATTCATGGAAACAGTTTTTGATGGTTATGCAGTGACGAGAAGTCACCAATGAGAGGGCTGTAACAGGGCTATAAACTCACGGGGTGGGGCAGTCACGTATTGTACCCATAATAATCCAATCTGAAAATGAGCCTTCTCAACAAATGGTATCATAAAACCTTAACTTACTCACTTTACCAAAAAACCAAACAAAGACCGAAATTACTATTGTGTTAGCATGACGTAAACTCTAGGTGCGTTGTGGTTGCAATAACACTTCTCATGTTGGTCTCTGTAGCATGATGTACTTAGGACCATTTCAATTTCATTAAGGCACTCCTACTCATAATGTTTTGGTTTCGTATAGAAGGAGCAATGAACTGTTCAAATAGAAAGATAAAATAGGTTTACTTTCAAAAGAATTGTTTCGCTGATTCCACTAGACGTCCATTATAGGAAAATCAGTCATTTCTATTCTATTTACTCAAGTACATTCAATCAGTAATACATTCTGCATGGATTTGACAATACCTACCACATGGCAAAGGTTAATGTCACTCTCCTTAAGAGGTTCTGTTGAATGATTCATGAAGTATTAGTATTACACGTATTTCTTCGGAGAATGTGTGTTCCAGACAGATGGAACATCATATATATACTCTTGCCAATAATGGTTGTCACCCCCTTCAAATGTTTTTATTGGAGTGTGTGTGTGGGTGTGTGGGGTGGGGTGGGGAGGGGTGACAACCGTTATTGGCATGAGTATATGAGTTATTATCCTATGGGGAATTGTGTTAGCCATATGATGAGGTAAATCACAACTCCGCGTTCACTGTTGAGACACTGATCTGTTAGCACTTTATATTCAGTACATCTCTGATAATATTTATCGAAACTTGTCAAGATATTTCAATTCATTTACCCTCCCTGCATCATATTTAAGCCATTTCAAATGTAACCATTTACAAAATTACATTCGATGATTGCTGACTTGTCTTCTTGAATATATGGACCCGTGAAGGTCCAGGTTACAATTGATCTTCAGTAACCCATGCTTGTCGTAAGAGGCTACTAACGGGATCGGGTGGTCAGGCTCGATGACTTGGTTGACACATGTCATCGGTTCCCAATTGTGCAGATCGATGCTCATGCTGTTGATCACTGGATTGTCTGGTCCAGACTCGATTATTTACAGATCGTCCATAGCTGGAATATTGCTGAGTGCGGCGTAAACTTAGACTCACGCACTCACTCTTGAATATATGTATAACATTTATGACATATATGTCGTTTTATCGGAATGAGTAAGGGAGTATTTTCGGTTTTACGCCGCTGTTTTTGCAAATCCAGTACTATCATGGATTCCAGAAATGAGCTTCACACCTTGAACCCATATAGTGGGAATGAACGGTCTAACCACTAGGTTACAGCACCGCCTCCGTGGTATAGTGGTTAGAGCGTCCCCCGGAGAGCTGAAGGTCGCGGGTTCGATCCCCGGCCGCGTCATACCAAAAGACGTTAAAATATGGTACTTGTTGTTCCCTGCCTGGCGCTGGGCCTTAATGGTTACAACAAGGACTGGTCGGCTCGGAGTCAATATAATGTGTCTGAGTGGGGTATCCATGCTTAACTGCGGCATGGTATCTCAGTGAGCTAGCACTATAAATCCAGCTAAAGTCTGGGCTAGTACAAGCAGCCACACATACACACGCATGCAAGTCGCCAAAGGAGCGAAATATTCTTAAGTACGACGTTAAACCCCGTTTCACCTCACCTCGTTTTATCTTAAGGCATGAATGGGGATACAGGTAGCATACAAATGTGGAATTACTGATATCTTGGTTGTATAAAGATTGTTCTAAATCGGTATTATACTTGTAAACTAAAAGCCCTGTCACACCTTGACGATTTAGCCAGCGTATGTCGAAGTATAAAAATCTCTCTAAAACGCTGGTATGCGCCGAACTAATCGCATAATAGCAGGTAGATATGCTATTAGAACAACCACTTTACTTGAGATTTGGTTTGGTTATTGTTTAACACCGCAATATGCCAGCTATATGGCGGCGATCTGTAAAATAATCAAGTCTGGACCAGACAATCCAGTGATCAACAGCATGAGCATCCATCTACGCAATTGGTCTTTACTTGAGATTAACACTACCTCTCCATAACACACATACACCCTCCTTACAAACTAATAACAATTATGAAAAAGAATAACATATTTTCTTAAGTCTGAATTTGTCATTTGTAAATACCCACGTTTATATTTGCAAGAGTATATAAATGTATATATATTTGCTTCATTGGCAATTGCATATTTAGAGATGCAAATGAAACCTTAAGGTCATGTCATTAAAAGTGTCTACGACTCGGTGACTAACAGGAATTCAAAGCTTAGTACCTAATCAAATACGACACTAGTAGCTATAAGACAATGACATGTTTGTATGCTAAGAATTCATTGATTTATCAAGGTTTTATGGTCTTAAGTGATCAGAAGCATTTTAGATATAACTGATTAGATTTAGATTAGAACTTGTATTTATCTCATGGGTTACCACTGTAAGGATATTTGTAAATTACAGCCCATGGGGACTCTTGTTGAGATGTTTATAAAGGTTCGACCTCACTACACATGAAGAGAAGACATTTCAATCAGAATAAGGTCATGCCCTATGGGAAAAATCTAAAATACATTGACAGATTATCAGTCTGTGATAACAGGTTAATGAGATATTAATGCTATCAGCTGAGACATGAATGTCATTTGAAGCATTCGTTTAACCAGTCTCATTGAGCATAATCAGTTGTAATGAGACGTGAATGCTATCAGCTGAGACATGAATGTCATTTGAAGCATTCGTTTAACCAGTCTCA